TTAAAATTATTAAATGTCTTGGGATTGAAAGGATATTAGATTACTGCAATACACTCTATGTAGGGCTGACCTTGAAGATGGTTCGATAGCTTGTGCAAACTGCAGCAGTCAGATTAGTAACTGGGACCTGTAGGTCCAAACACTTATGACCAATTCTGGCCCACTTGCATGGGCTGCCTGTGTCTGGATCCAGTATCAAGGTGCTGGTTTTAACTTACAAAGCATTGTACAGCTTGGGACCACAAAACTGGTTGACGTATCTCCTACAACAGCAATCTTCTTGGACACTATGCTGAGGGAGGCTCAGAAGATGGCAACAAGGGGAAGGGCTTTCTCTGTGATGGGTCCCCCATCTATGGAACAACCTCTCCACTACAGCCTGGTTGGTGCTGAACTTATGTTTTCGGCACCAGCGTAAGACTGCTCTTTATGCCTAGGCTTTTAAAGATTTACTCAGCCACCCAGGGGCTTGAAGAGATTACCTATCCCAATTGTTTTTTTCTTTTGACAAAATCATTTTACCCTAAGTTTTACTGTTTAAAATGTGTTTTAATGCTGCTTTGATTTTATGATATTTGTTCTCTGTTGGTATTGTTTTGTTATTATGCATTGTTATAAAGTGCACGGAGAGCTTCAGCTATGGGGTGATTTAGAAATGAGATAAAGAAGCGTTGGTCTCAGGTGAGCCTCAAGTGGGGAGTGTATTCCATATCTGGGGGGTTGCCACAGAGAAGGTCCTTCCACCTTGTTGCCACCAACTTAAGCCTTCCTTGGAGATAGCATTCAGATATTGAGTGCCATACCTGGATAGAGTGCAAGTGGGAGAGGAATTCCATCAAGTATTATGGTCCCAAGCAGTCCTAGCATCTTGCTGTACTCTTCTATTTCTTGTACCCCGTTGTCTTCTTTTAGTGCCCCATCCATAGCCTCTAGCCATGCTGCTTGTTTTCTTTTCATCTCTTTAGCCCACTTTTGACTAGCCAAGCCCTGACTGCAGCTGTTAAGTGGCTAGCCACATCCAGAACGGGAGTCATTTTGTGATGGCATCCACAGGAAACTTCCAGATGTGCCCACAAGGTGCAAAAGTTTTGAAACCCCTGGCACAGACACACACATTCAGGGAATTGACTGATCTGGTGTCAACTGTAGGAGTAAGGAAGCCAAGGCCTTTTCTTCAAACCCACTTGTTTTCTAATAGCTACATTGCAACAAGGAATCCTAGCTGCTTTAGGACTGGTAAATGCTACACTACAACAGTGACTGTGACTAGTACTCCGAAACTGCTAATAGTGTGTGCGCGCACACACACACATGTACAGGGATGGACTGTTTTGGGGTTGCTGGGGAAGATCACCCCTCCATGGGCCCAAACTGGGATTAGCTTTTTGCTGCTGCCAATAAAGGTAAATCAACAATCTTGGCCTTTTTTTTGTGTGTGTGTGGGGGGGGGGGGGGGCTGTCACTGTTCTGGTGTACTTTCCCTGCAGGCCAGCTCATTACCTAATGGGCATGGTTCATTACAGGCTAACAAGCCATACAGGGAGTGGTAGAGGACCAGATCTGGCCTGCAGGTCATAAAACTACATCCTTGAACTAGTTCCAAAAAAAGAACTTTGTGAAGTACCTATGCACAGGTTAGATACTTGCAAGACAACTTAGCCACTTTCAACATTAACAGAAATTTTGCTAAATCCAAGTTTGTGCAAATCGAAGATCTGAAGATTTCAAAGGAGGTATGCGAGACTTTAGCTCCATTGCCAATTAATCAAGGAGAAAGTGTGTATTAGAATTGAGTAGCCTGATGGTCTGCTTTTGGGTTTTGGATCCTTTATGAAGCTGCTTTTGCTTACACTGAAATATGGTCAATTAGCATTGAACTGATTCTAATAAATATTTATCTTGTGGTTTTATGAAGCTTCAATTACTCTCCAGGGAGCTTATCTCATTCTGTGGAATATAAGTGCATATGTGCCTGTACCAGTTTCCATTCTTTGTAATTGTCTGCATCAGATTTTCTCAGAGAAGAAATCTGGCTTGTTTTGTTGCTTCCAGAATTTCATTCCTCTCATTGGTTCCTTTACAAGCAACCATTCTCTCCCAAGGGTCCAAGTACCCAAGAAGTGGTTGCAATGAAAGAACAGCAAGGATGAAAGGGCAAAATAAGCTGAATAGGGAGCTTCAAGTTAGAAAGAAAACTACAGTAGGTGTATAATGGAAACAGGGAATCTTGAAAGAATTGCAACGTGTAATTATACTTAATACACATGGGAAATCTATTGCCCTGTGTTGTTGAAGGCAATAGTTCACACATGGTTTCTGTAGTTTGTATGGTGTTGCCCTCACTGCAAATTGCTAGTGTAGATCCTTAAGGGATTACTAGCATGGAACAGCACACCTCAAAATGAACCTTCAACTAGTGAGAATGGAAATGAAAAGGAGCCTCTAGAGTCCCTAATTTAATCTCCTGACATCTGGCAACAGTGATTTGATTTAAACCATCCCTACACAATTCACATGTAAGGACTTCAAGCCTCAGAGGGCAACCAGGCATTTGATTTTCATCTTGAGGCCTATCTTGGGAGGCTCCACTTCTGGATTATGTTCTTTCAGGCCAATAGAATGCTAGAACACAGATGTTGGGAGAACATCAAAGTATTGTTTCAACACATAAAACCAGCAAAAATCTTTGCAATAATTTAAATACTTCTTTCCCTTGCCTGTTCTTCATACAACTTCAACTACCTGTTTTCTGCCTTCCTTTCTGAAACATGCATTGGCTAGGGTTTTGCTAAGTTTCTGGATAAAAGCAATATGACAAGTACAGCTCGATTATGTTTCCATAATGTTTTAAATCAATACAGTGTAGTGAATAGAGTTGGTTTGCACATAATAACCCAGTGGTAACCCAACAACAAACCATGGGTTAACTGCTGGGTTATTTAGCACCTCAAACCCCCAGTAGCCCAGGTTTTCATATCATGCAAAGCATGTTCTGTTTTAAGCAGTTTTTAAGCCTTGCTGGCTATGGCTGTGGCATATAAATGTAATAATATAATAAATAAAACGTATGAATGGTCTGATCATTGATCAGTATTTAAAAGCAGAAGAGACTCAAATGCTGCAAACAGCCCTACACCTTCCTACTTGTCGCCAAGTGGGAAGCATTCTTTTAGATAGATCTAGTCCACAAGAGTACCATTAGGAAAACAGAAGGAAAAGAGAACAGTAAAAGCAAGTAGCAAGGTAGGTTACAATATACATCTGTGCCGTCAGTGTGATGTAGTGGTTAGAGTGCTAGACTGGGACTCAGGATATCTAGGTTCAGTCTCCACTCAGCCATGAAGCTCGCTGGGTGACTCTGAGTCAGTCTCTGACGTTCAGCCTGAACCACCTCAGATGGTTGTTTTAAGGATAAAACAGAGGAGTGTTATGTGAGCTGCTTCAGGCTACCTGCAGAAAAAAGTGGAATATAAATATAATATATACTATGCACATAAGCTTTTTTTCTCCTTAGGAATGCAATTTTAAGCTTATTTCTCTGAAAATGTTTGTTGGCCTCTGAAAAACACACATTAAAGATTAGCCTGTAACTACTTACATTCATCTGTAACCTTAAAACTTGTCTCCCCCATCATCTTTTCCAAGGAATTCAGCATGACATATGGTCCCCCACCCATTTTATCCTGCCAGTAGCCCTTGTATGCCGAAGCAGTGTATTCTGAGAGACTTATTACATGCACTCATAATGTCACCATCCCACAACCCACCAGATCCCCTCCCCGCCAGTCAACAACTGCAACTACCCCAGTGGAAACATTCAAGTTCTCACATGACACAGTTCTTACTGCAACAGGCCACATACTGCGCAAGCGCTGTTTTTAAAGACAAGTTCGGACTTGTGCGTGCACGGTAGCAAGCCAATTTAACCAAAGACTTCTAAATGTAGAGTCACACAACGGGGCGTGACTTGCGAGTTCATCTTAGACACCATTTTTGTTTCTGTTCTCAGTGAAACTCGTCTTCATAAAACGTTAGAGAAACGTAGCATTTTAATATCGTACCACCGAGCAGCAGCGTTGCCCACTTCATCCTAACCAAGAACAGCAGTAAAGTGAAGGTTTTCTGTTCCTTCAATTCAGGTCCAATCTTTTTCATTTTAAGTAGACTTTTGAAAGCACAATGCGTTACCGTGCATGTCGATTAAGAACTAAGCTTTTGCGAACAAGTGAGTTCTGAAATTGCTTGAAGAGGATTTGAAGGCATAATTTAAATAGATTAACCTTTACTGCGATCTGGGGTGCTTTATATTTGGTAATTTTGGGTGGAAATCTAAACCAGTCCCAGATCTCTCTGTAGTATCAACTGTAAACTACATGCAGGATATTCCAACCAAGAATACGGGATGGTGGACCGTATTGGTGCTGATAATTGCAGGGCTATATGATTTTTTTAGCGTTACAATTTTAAAACATTTTCCCAAGCAAATTAAAACATGAATCATAAAGAGGCTTAGTTACAGCTAATTTGTTTTAGCTGGGGTGAGGAACAGACAGAAGTTTACAATCACAGCTATGTTAAATCTTGGATTTCTCCATTGATTTCTGTCGGGGGAAAGCGGTCTCACAAAACTGCAAAACTTTTATTTATTTAACTGTACGAATTACACAGCAAGACCGTAAGAACATTATACGCACACTTCTGCACTTCTGGACATGCGCAAAGCCTGCAATACGTTTTAGACCCAGGCGTAGATCTTCCGGAAAAACCTGACACGTGACGACACGACCTGAAATATGCGCAGGCGCAATGACGTTTCGGAACATACCAATCTTAGCTCTTTGGGGAAGATATATTTCATTTAAAATGATTGTTTGGTATGCCGTGCCATGTGTTATTTCCATAAATTCTTTAATGTGAGGGGGATTTTTCAGTTCTAGTGGAAATGAAAGGTGAGCTGATGAAGATAGAACTTGATAGCGCTGGGATCCGAGTGGTACAGCTCAAATACGCGTTGGTTAGCGGCCCGCCCCTTCCTGCCTGCCTTTCTTTCTTTCCAGTGCCGTCGGCGCTGCCGCCATGAGGTGAGGAGGTGGCTGGGGAGCTCTTGAGTCTTCAGGACGGGTTGTTATTATATGTAAAAGTAAACAGATACCTGAAAGCAGTCACTGAGGGATGGGTGGGAAAGAAAAGCACTTCGAGGAGAGGCGCCATTCATTCGAGGAGAGGCGGGAGAGATCTAAGCGAGACGCGGCCTAGTGGCGCTTGAAGCGGGAGGCAAGGCCTGAAGAGGGGAAAGGGGCGGGGAGGGTCGATGGGGGAGAAGCCAAGGCGGTTTTTGCGAAGGGGCTCCCGTAAAACGGAGAAACTAAAGGGTTGTGCGTGGTTGGGGTTCTTCATGGAAAGGCTTGAAGACGCGGGGTGATTGCCGTGAGGAACCCGGGAGGGGAAGCAGTTTCAGCGGGTTTTGTAAGCGGAAAACACTTAAAAGGGATTCATTTCGTATAAAACTTAACTGTTCGCCTCATCATCCTAGCGTTTAAGTATTTAAACTGCTGTTTTCCTCCTCACATCCCGTTTGCGGTCTAAACCTTCCCCAGCCTGTTACCCTGCAGATATTTTGTGCTTTAATTCTAGCTCAGCCTTAAAATGCTAGCTTTGCATTTTAGATCCTGGTGTAGAGGAGCCTTTCTTAAAACTTGAGCATTTCGAGGCAGGGCTAGAAAAACTGCTTCCAGCTAGTGTTGCCAGTATTACTTAAATGGGTAATGGTCTTATTATGTATAAAACATCTTCCTATTTTCCTTACCCTTGTCAATCAGAAGATTTGACAAGACTGGCTGCTTTACACATTCATGTAGAAGTCTTGAGTACAGCAGGGCTTACTTCCGGTTAAGGAGGTGTGGAATTTGTAAGCAAGATAGGTTTATCATTTAAAAAACATCTGTGTGAGTTGCTGGTGTAAGTCAAACCTTTTCCTCAAAGTTTTGCACATTCTTTGAATAATGTATATAACTTTCATATGGGTAAACAGCTAGCTAGTTTGGTATATTGAGGAGTGTCAAACCAGTGCCATCTCAGTGCTCTGTTTAAGCCCATGTTCTCACAGATGGGCTGGCTTGTTTCTTGCTTCTGGTAGGGGGTGCATGTTAGGAAATTTGCATTTCAGCAAAGAGTCTTACCCCAATTTTTTATTGACATGATACTTTCTCTACATACGAAGGAGCGTTCGACATGAAATCCTCCACTAGCAATGTAATCGCTTAAAGTAGGCTTCTGTTGCAACCGCAAACAAATTTCAGTGGTCTTTGAAAAGCTTTGATTTGTGATTCAAATGTCACATGTGAAGTTTTCAGGAGCCATAACGCTTCCCTGGGACTGTATTCTGTTTGTGGGAACAGTCTTACTTACAGGATAAGGTCATTAATGTTTTGGTTCATCTTGACAGCAGTTCTGAAAGGTAGGCCCCTGTTCCCATTGTGGAGATAGTGGCTATAAGAGAGAGTACTTAGTAAGTTCATAAAAAAGGTGAAGTTTGAATAACGTGTGTCCTTCACCCCCATCTCTGCCTTATTCATGCACATGTCTGGACTCAAATTGTCCACATAAAAAGTTGTTACAAAGATTGTAAAGGGGGAATCAGTCTGTGTGGAGATAGTAAGAAGTAGCTATCAAAGGAAATGAGAGGTGTGGAAGAGTATATAGCTCCTAGGCTTTTAGCTCTTTTATAAGTTGCTTTGAGGTAGCTTATAAAAATGCTAATGTTTCATTTTGATATTCTGCTATTTATTCAATAGATTTCTTTATCACCCAATAGCTAAAGTTCTCTGGGCAGTTCACAACTAATAAAACCATAAAATACATCACACCATTACACTACAAAAGTTCAAAACTTGGGGACTACAATATAAAATAGGTGGAAATCCCAAAATTTAAGAGCAATGCAAAGAATTAAAATATGGTAATGGATTTTACATGTCTGAAATTGAAAAACAAATGCCTGGGAACATAAGAGTTGAAGCCCATGGGTCCAAGGCCAAGGAAGTTCATAAGTGCCATGAAGAACACAATGTACTAGATGAGTCTGCGAAGCTCATTCCACACCTAGGCTGCTATACTTTAGTGATACGCTGTTGATGAAATATGAATTTACTGCATGGTATCTGGAGGCTGTGTCCACACTTCCTGAAGCTGTGTATGTGACTGAAAAGTGAAGGCTGGTTGATGGGAGTACCAGGAAGGAGTAAAAACCTGCACTGCAAAGGACACCCCTTAACCAAGCATGTAGTAATTTATCAGAAGATTATTGGGATAGAGTAAATCCTTATTTGCAGGTGTGAAAAAGATTAATCTCAAAAGTAACTGCCCACTGGTCTTCACAGGTCCTAAACAATGTGGTTTAGCATGTTACCTTATGTTCTTGTATAGTTTTTATTATTTAGGTATACCAAATTTAGGTACATCAGGTTAGTTTCATTGTTCCTTGATGAGTTACTGAAACAGTATACAATATTTTGCTTCCTCAGTATGCTAAGGCTCCAGAAGAGGCTGGCCTCCAGCGTCCTGCGCTGTGGCAAGAAGAAGGTCTGGTTGGATCCCAATGAGACCAATGAAATTGCAAATGCTAACTCTCGTAAGTGCATCAGTTTCAACATCGCAGAGTCTCATTCTGTAATTTTGTTAGGTACAGCTTCCTTGCCTGAACTCTTGTCCCTCTAAAAGGCACCTAAAGAATTGACAGTTTTCAAACACTTTGCTTAAAGACAAAGCAAATATCAAATGCACAAATATATACCCTGTTTTCATTTTCTTTGGACTTTCCAGCATTGTGCTTGTTTGTTTGGAACTGAGATTGCAGATTAGAATGTAACTATAGTTGTGCATGTTCTTGTGAAAACCATACTTGCAGATTTATTAGAAGAGTTTATCATCACTAATAATCATTTTTCCTGCCTTATAGGTCAGCAGATCAGGAAACTGATCAAAGATGGCCTCATTATCCGCAAACCAGTGACTGTTCACTCACGAGCTCGATGCCGGAAAAACACATTGGCTCGTCGTAAGGGCAGGCACATGGGCATCGGTAAATATTGCCATTTTACATACTTTGAATGTCTCAGTTTTAGATAAGCCTCCTGCAGGAGTGACTCCAGGATATTGAATGATCTGAGTTCTGTTTGAGGTTTTGGAGAACAGCAAATTTCTTTGAGCTTAAAAGGAAAGTAGATTTGTACTATTCAAGATCTTCATCCTTTTCTTTTCAGGTAAGAGAAAAGGTACAGCCAATGCTCGTATGCCTGAGAAAGTTACGTGGATGAGAAGGATGAGGATTTTGAGGCGTCTCCTTCGCAGATACAGGGAGTCCAAGAAGATTGATCGCCATATGTAAGTCTGGAAAACAAATGTATACCAGTTAACCCACTAACCTAGAGCATGCTTGGAGTTAACTCCTAAATAATTAGACTAATTCTTTCACAAAGACTCCAGAAGAACATGGATGCATAGTTTTTCCAGTACTGAGAACCAAACAAGGCAAGTTTAGTGAAGGTTTAGAAGCATTGTGCTGGATTCCAGAGTTGAGTTGCATGATATTAAGGCAGCCTGTATCCCATCATCTGTGAAATTGCCACATTGGCTTGAGCTGATGGACTTCTAGTCCAAAATGAAGAGCATCAGGTTGAGGACAACTGCATTTAAAGTGATGTAGGGCTCACATTCTTGATACCAAGATAGGGTTGCTTAGTGTGCAATCCTTTCATTGTTAGATACTCACTGGCTAGCTAGAGGAAAAGCTGGAGTCCCTGATGTGATTTCTCAGAAACTGTCCAAGGTCACAGCAAGAATTTTGTATTGGAGTTCTTCCCTCTAGCTCATGGGTCCTCAAACTACGGCCTGGGGCCAGATCTGGCCTGCCATGCCCATTTTGACCCGCCGCACATGTGCCCAGGTGTGTGCCTGCCGCTGCCCACCTTGCCCTGCACGCAGGAGGCAGCGGTTTGCTTGCACGGAGAAAATTATCTCCAAGTGAGCAAACTGCTGCCTTGTGCACCTGCCTCATGGCGCGTGCTTGCCTTGCCTCGCCTTCCCCTCACCACGCGCGCCTGCCAGCTCCTTGCTGCGCACCTAGCTCCCACTTCAGCACGCACGCACGCGCTGCCCCGCCCCCTCACCGGCCCGCGCGCACCAGTGGCACCACCTTTCCGGCCCGCACCCGGCACCAGCACCTTTCAACTGGCCCCCTGGTCAAAAAGTTTGAGGACCCCTGCTCTAGCTAGTATGTTTCCTTCTGGCCAACTGCAGCTCCAAAGACAGGTGATAATATTTGGAGCAGGCATGGTGGTAGGGAGTGCATTTGGGCTGGGGGAGAAAGAGGCAGTGCCAGTCTACAATGAAACCAGGTAATGTGGCAATTTTTTCTCTCAATGAGAAGAGGGTTAATATTTAGACCACTGAAACAGTTTAAATGCTTTGGAAGTGGGGGAACTTGCTCTTTTCTTTCCAATTGAGCCTGTTACCTAGCATGTTTGGAAGGCCGCAAGCAGCCACATAGGATGTTGCCTTCCATGCATTTGGAGATGTTTTTCTGTAAATTATATTGTTATTGTTCACCACTTGTAGGAGTATGTTCAGTCCTTTCTGTATCTACTACCTTTTTAGGTATCACAGCTTGTACTTGAAGGTGAAAGGTAATGTGTTCAAGAACAAGCGGATCCTGATGGAGCACATCCATAAACTGAAGGCAGACAAGGCTCGCAAGAAGCTTCTGGCGTAAGAATCTTCTCATTGTGTTATCAGACAAGTTATTGGGTCATTTTAAAGTTTGAATAGGTTTTGGGCTTGTCTCCTCTTTGTCTCTTGCTAATGCAAAGAACCACACTTGACATAGCAGTAATGAAATTATTTTTTAAAAAATCAGCCTTATTAAGAAGGTGCTGCAGTCTACAGAACAAAAAGAAAAGGAGAATACTGCAGCCGGTTAAAGTCCCCTGTGTTTCCTAGTCTGTCCCCCAGTCTTTTCTAGAAGAGGAGGTTGTGGGTGTAGACTTTTCCTATAAATCTGGGGGCACGATCCAAAAGAATTTGGTGGTGAGTTACAGTGGGCAGGATGCAGCACTTAATGGAAACTGGAGCACTTAGGCTGTTACATCTCCTGTGTGCCAGTTCACTTAGCAGCATATAGCACAAGCTTCACCAAAGTTTCTCTCTTATATTGTTTTTCATCTGCCCCTGCCATGGAGCTGCACTTGGAGCAATTAGCAGACTAGGTCTGCTGTTTTTCTTGCTAGGCTTTTTGACTTCTGCCTGAATTGGGCAGTCGTATTACGTTGTTGCATCCAGGTTAATTATCTGCAGAAAGTAGAAATTGGTTGTCTAGAATTGGATGGCAACAGTGGGAAAATATCTTCCATGGGGAAATATGGAAGGGTTGCATCGAAATATTCAGGTCAGTCTTTGGAGGAGGGGGGTAAGAATTGTAAACTGCTGCATGGGTGGTGTCTTGCCTTTTTATTTACAGTCTACAATCTAGCTAGAATTTTCCTATATTAGTAGGGGAAAGGGGTTCTTTTTGAAAGGTCCTAGAATTCCCTGCCTCACCACAAATGGATGAAAAGCCTCCTTTTCACTTTTATGGTATAGGTTCCACAAAATTAGAATTGGTTCAGATTTTCCCTACAAAATACATTACCATCAGTACAACTCAGTGAAACTACTTTTCTTATGCCATTCACTTGCCTTTGTTTTTCAGTGACCAGGCTGAAGCCCGCAGGTCCAAGACCAAGGAAGCTCGTAAGCGCCGTGAAGAACGCCTGCAAGCCAAGAAGGAGGAAATCATCAAGACCCTATCCAAGGAGGAAGAAACCAAGAAATAACTTCTGCCTTACAGTGTACATAGATACATTTGGAGCACTAATAAATCTCTTAAGGATATACCCAAGTCTAGTAGTATTTCTTAGGTGTGTGTGGGTGAATGCAAACTAAAATGGAATCTGGTTTCTAATTAAGATAACAGCTTGACCCAAAACTGTACCTTTTAAAAATAAATTTTATTAAGTAAAAACAATACAATTCAATGCAAACATCCATAACAAAAATTTAGAAAAAAATTATAATGCAAATAAATTGTATAATATAAATCAGTCAAACGATTAGTATTTAGTTTGTTTGATACTGAACACAAGTGCACCCCCTCACCAGGACATACGGCTGCGTGATATTTATTCATATTCATATATTCTCTTAACTTCCATGCTTCCCCTCTCAGGACTATTTCCTCCATCCAAAATTGCATTGAATCTTACAAAGGTTTTTAATACCTTTCCCTTTTATTAATACATGTTCAATAAACAACGCACAAATGTCACTAAAATTATTCTTGCTTGTCAACCTTTTTATCAACTGCAACATGGTAATTTACTAATACCTATATTCCAAATTTCCTTATACCATGCACTTAATTAGAAATCCTGTCTTTCCTTCCAGTTCTATGCTATTAACAATCTTAATGGCTGTTAATAAATTTGTTGTCAATTCTTTAATATTCCATTTCTTTTCATGAAGTAATAGTGATAATGCCATTCAAGGGTCTGCTTCAATATCTAAACTTAATATTTCCCTGAAAATCATTTCCTAATATTTTCAGGAACTGCACCTTTAGAGTTCTGTATGTACTGTGGATTGATTTAAATATTTTTCTTAGTCAATTTGTTGCCTTTTGGGTCTTGCATTTACTCCATACTCATTGCTCATTGATTGATAAACTTTGTGACTGTATAGCACCTTTTTGCTACCCAGAAGCTTACTGTAAGTATATCTGGGCATATAATTCACATACCTTTTGCTTACAGGACTTAGAAGAAGGACTTATGAGAGGAATTGCTGAATTTTTAGTTTGGGCTTCTCTATATGTTAGAATGCAGAGCCATATCACTTAACCTGAAGATACAAGTAACCTGAATCTTCAAGAAGCAAGGGTGTAGATAGTTACTGAACTGAACAGTTGTATTCTGATACTAGTAAACGGATGAGCTCACAGCCCGAATATTTAAGTTATGGGATGTCATCTAGTATCCTTTTTAATGCTTAACCTCTAGCCCCCAGTTAGTTTCTTTTACATAGAAAGGAGACTGTTTATATGTAGAGTAGGAGTTTTAAGTTGGATTCTTACATCTTTGTATTACATTCAGATATTTTAACAGATTCAGGCTAAGAGCTTAAACTTTTAAATGTATCCCTGATCTCTGCTATGCATGTGCTTTGTAATGTTGGTATACTGTTACAGTGAATGGTTGATGTACTATTTATTACAAGACCACTTCTATAAAACAACAGTTCTGAGTTGTAACACTGCAGAATACCTCACATCCCAGAATACCTCACATTTTTGCACCTTAAGACAAAGAAAGTACCGTACTGATAAGACCCTGCAGGTGTCCAATAAAACATGTATTTGATTTTTCTTTCATACTGATGTTTTGTCAACATTTGGAATTTCATGAACAAGCCAAAATAACGACAAATTCTCTCTGTAATAAGTTAGGTATTTGATAGCTCTGTTGATACTCACCTTCAAATAATCCTTTGCATATTCTCTTTCAGGGAACCATAGTTCCTCATGGCTCATTTTCTCACATAATTGTACTTGAATGTACCCTATACTCTCCTGTTGGGAGAGTGAAACTAGGGAATGTATATCATAGGGAAATGGATGATCAAACTCGTGGGTGATTTTACTTGGGAATCTGTTAGAAGCTGTTGGATTTCCCCAGAACACAGTTTGGAGACCTTGGAACATAACCAAACCCTGATGTAGAGCAATATATAGCAATTGATGCAGTAGATAACTTACCTGCATATTAATCTTTGCTTAAAAGGAAGCTGTATTGACTTTGTTTAGCTAGATAGAAAACTGCCTGGGCTAACTCTGTACTTCATTAAAGTTTCAAATTCAAAACAAGCATTAAACATGTTAGAACAGGTTTTTTTTAAACTCAAGATGAACTAATGGTTGAATGGTATATATGTGAATAACCTTTAGGCTGAAATGTGAAAATACAGGAAAAAACAGTTTTAATATCGAATATATATAGTCAATTTCTAAATTCTCAGTATGAAGCTGGCTTGCTAACCTTTTCCCGAGAGAAAATTATAAGACCGACCAACCTCCTTTGGGGTTGTTAGGTTAAAGTGGGATAGCACCTATGTATGCTATCCTGGTGTGCTTGGGGGAAAAGCTGTGAGAAAATATTAAAAATGTTGAAGAGACTATGCAACCTTAAAGTGACCTTGGTCAATTCACAAGACAGAAGTGCCTTCATACGGTGTAGGTTTGGTGTTCCAGAAATCGAGCTGCATAGAAAATGTAGTGTGCAATTTACATTTAGGGTTCTGATGCAGCTTCTGAAAATGGGAAAAACATACACTGGATATTTCAGAGGAAGTAAGAAGCTCACTTTCTCGTTAGCAATTCAAATACTTAATACAAAGTAGTGACCAGCAGGAATTATGAATAAGCCAAAGGATCTAACCTGTTTGATAATAAATTTTAATTCTTAGGGATGAGATGACTCAAGAGGCATCCCCCCCACAACTTTTAGGCTTGGATCTAACACAGATAGTTCATCCTCATTCCAACATTAATTTTTGAGCTACTGTGAAACCAAAACAATTTTATTTGGTTCCAGATAAACCAAGTTTGACACAATGATGTGTCAAATTAGAAGAGAGCTTTTCGTACACCCATCTTAGTTGACAGTCTGTTGACCTTCTTTCCCCAAAGTTGAAACTTTACCTGAGGTTATCTGTGTGCCAACAGTAAGTACTGACATAGTCCCAGTTGCCAAATCTTGTTTCTCAACATAATCTCAGCAGACAAAGAAGATAAGACAGTAGCCCCGGTATATGTAGTGTCAAAGGTGCTTTCTAGCCTGCATGTAGGTTTTAGAGAAAGATGAAAGATAAGTTTTCTGGCTACAGGGCTTGAGTTTGAGAAATTAAGTAACCTTGTATCACAGAATTTCATACTTTTAGCACATATTTATCTTTGCATCAAGTTTGTGAGGAAGGTCATTATGAGTTGCCTGCTTTCTGGACTGAGAAACTGAAAATTAATAATAAAAAATCAATTTCCCATCAACTACATCTGATAGTGCATAGATGAGTGTTAATACCAAACACCTGATGCCAGATACAAAAAAGACCAAGATTGCACAACTAAAGCACTGACTCGCTTTAGCCTTTGTGGCCATTATGTGGCCACAATGTCCAGTGTGGTCATTGGCTAGGAACAATAAAAATTGGTGGCAACAGGCCTGGAGAATACAATGTTTGAGAAGGCCAGTCAAGGTCAATGATTTTCATTGGCATTCCCTGTCCCAGGGAAACCTGATATTCCTCAAACTGATAATTTAGAAAGGAACCTTTAATGTGTATCATCTCTTCATGCAAAGCAATGGTGAGGTCTTCTTTTTAATATTAATGCTTTATTTGATGCAATTACAATCCATCCATCCAGAAGAATAAATAAAGTATGCAATTTAATACCTAATCTCAGGAATGCTAAATAAGAGCAACGCATTTCTAGTAAGTACTAGTAGTGGGTTAGATCCTGGCTTACTCATACTTAATGGCAGACAAAGAATTTTTATTTTTAGCTGTTGAACTCTTAAAAGAGCAGAAAGTGCCATAGCCCTGTCTTTAGGAGGGTTTAGCATGTATGTGCTTCCATTGGTGCCCAGGGGCAGCTTCATGAAAAGCTTAGATTTCTCCATGAATTTCTCTGGGTGATTCTCATGTCTCCTTGGAGACACTAAAAATAGCTTCCCAGTGTGGACTAAGACCTCTCTAGACAGTGAAAAGTTTCTCTCTAATGCATGTGATTCTTTATTCTTTTCTCTCCATTTACTTTCTTGCATTTTATCTTTCTCCCTCAGTGTTCTATGATTGCTGACCGTACTCAGTCCTGACTAGGCAGTTTTGGTGCCCACAGACTTTTTGTACTTCTGCAAATATCAGGGTTCCATGTGCCATTTTGGCAACATAAGCAACAGCATTGGGAGAAATGAATTGGAATTAAAATATAAGCCATAGATATGGAGGTTAGTTCCCCCCAACTTAGCTTCTCTGCAGATGTTTCAATCTTATGGCCAGTGGTTAGGAATTATGGGAATTTAATTCTAAAATCTGGAGGGGCTCAGATTAGGGAAGTCTTGTATATATGTAATTGCTTCAGAGTGTTATGATTAACCTATAGTGCAATTTTATTCATATCCACTGAAATATAAGTTCTACTGAACTCAACTGAATTTTCTTCCAGGAAGCTGGGTATACACTACAGCCTTCAAGTGTATGTGGTGTCACTATTGCAGTTCTCCATAGAAAACAGAAGAGGGCAGCAGAAAACCACAGTTTGAATGCTTGTTGACTAAGAAGTCCATAGCTCTTTTTGAGTTGAATAGAAATCTGATTCAAGTGCATTTCCCCTAAGCAATTAAAAGCAAAAAACAAAATAGCATTTATTGAGTGCGTTAGAGTCTTCAAAGCACGGACTGCATCATTCTGTAAGAGAGATGACAGGTTGGACTATACTACAGAGATTTAGTGACAGATTTTATTTTCCTGGGCTCCAAGATCACTGCAGACGGGGACTGCAGCCAAGAAATTAAAAGACGCTTGCTCCTGGGGAGGAAAGCTATGACGAATCTAGACAGCATACTAAAAAGCAGAGACATCACCCTGCCAATAAAAGTGCATATAGTCAAGGCTATGTTTTTCCCAGTTGCAATGTATGGCTGTGAAAGCTGGACCATAAGGAAGGCTGAGCACCGAAGGATTGAGGCCTTTGAATTGTGGTGCTGGAGGAGACTCCTGCGAGTCCCTTGGACCACAAGGCGATCAAACTGGTCAGTCCTAGAGGAGATCAACCCTGACTG